GCTCCTTCACAGAGAAAGAAATGGGGTGAGAGTCGCTTCACGTGAATGCAATAGGTTCCGCCCCTCTGTGGGGGGCTTTACGACTGTAAAAAATAACCTAACCCAACCTATTTACAATTAGTGGTATGAAGACGCGTAGAAAGTTGAAACCCACGTGCAACAGTACAATTATAGAAGTCGTATGTGTAGATACAGTAGGTTCCGCCCCCCCTGCGGGGGGGGGGCTACACTACTGTTAAAAATAACCTAATCCAACCCATTTAGTGGTGTGAGATAGCTCTCGTTTCGCGTAAAAAAAAGTCGAAACCCACGTGCAACAGTACAATCATGGAAGTGTTTTCGCATAGAAAGTCACATGCCTGTACTGTTGCACGTGGGTTTCGACTTTCTACGCGAAACAGTTACCTCACACCGGACCTACGACCCACCCCCTTCCCGCACCCGCCCCGTTGATAGAGGTCTGCCCCAACAGTACAATCATAGCAACAGTACAATCATGGAAGTCGCGTGCCCCTTGGCAAGGGGGGGAGGGGGGTGAATGTTAACCTCGCGTGAAAAGTTTAACGTTCCTGAACAAGGAAAGGTGTAGAATAGTACTTAATGTTATACATGTATTATATATCATATGTTAATTTTAAAACAATGATTATTAATAACTTTTTAACGAAGGACGAGTGACGGCTAAAACTTGTTGGAGGTTACTCAGGATCATGACCTTGACAACATATGTCAAGGTCAAGGTCATTGGAGGTGGCTCCTCTAAAGTGAACAATTGCCCCATTTTTGAGTCCAATATGGCACTCCAGAACTGTCAAGTCGTTGCACGTCGTAATAACATTTGTTTTATATAAAAGCTGCGCAATCTGTACTAAAGAAATAGTAGTCCACAAGCATGTAGTTTGCATGAAGAAACAGCGTGAAGTTCTTAAAATTAGATTTAGATGTCTAATTAAAACATAATTACGATACAAAATTCTACGTATATGTGTGGCGTGCGTGAGTAAGATATTGATGTAATGATGTGTCAATGACACGTAATCGTCTGTGTGTAAGTGCTATTTCCAATATGATTAATTGTCTTAAGGATCCCCTTAATATTTAATTGAAACGCTGACCTGTTATTCACGTAATTACCTCACATTACTAGCAACAAGTTATAATCGTTAAGATATTAACAAAACATTTCTTTAATATTGTTAATAATACGAGAATGTTAGAAAAGTATTTTTACGATGGATAATATAATATAATAAAAACTATTTGCTTTTTTAAAAGTTAGTTAACAGTTCGAACTCAAAAACTAGTAGCTAAAAAAATAATAGCAGCTAAAAATAATTTCAAAAATAATTCTAAAATTTATATTTCTTTAATTCCTAATTTTCTAAGAAAAATATTTATAGCGAACGATATTTTTTAGCTGTTAGTTTTCTCCTCTCTCTCTAGTTAGTTAATGAATTATCACACTTTAATCGTTAATAAATCACACGTGATATCAAACATACTATTACGTGTTAATATGGAGAGTTAAATAAATAACTTTGCTTAATTTTTCCCTCTAAATTCTTTCGAGTAATCTCGCTAAAACGTTTAGAGTGTAACAGTGAGATTCACTTCAAAGAAATTATACAGCTTGTTCCATCAATGCCTTATGAACTTGTGCAAGGAAAATTATAAGTGGAATTGTCCGAAATTATTTTGAGAAAAAGCATTATACATATATAAAAGATATTTCATTTCCCCTACATTATTTAATAAAATAACGATTAAGTCTTTGATAAATTTATTTCGGATTTCAATTTTTGTTTAGTGCAAATGTAGTAAAAATATTGGAAGAATTCATTTTTTACAAAAGCTTCTTAAGTTCTTACGTCATATATCATGTATGCGTATCATTTGGTGGAAATTTAAAAAATATTGACAGTTCTAAACGTATTTTTAATAGTTCTATAGTTCCTGATAGATAAAACTAACTGATGTATTATTAATTGAAGTTATTAATTGCCAGTTCAAAGTGAACATACATAACGTGTATGCAACTTTTGTATGCGCATAGCTGTAGCCAATAAAATTTAGGCACAATCGCCCCCCGCATTTCAGGATAACCCCCCTCGCTTATCTTCGGAGCTAATGCTCTGTCCCTATATTTCTATGTCCATGGTGTGCCTGTGTATATGTCGACGATATGAATAATAGACGGGACGTTGTACAAGACCGTAACAGAAAAACGCTGGTGTCAATTACGACTCGAATACAACAAACGCGTGTCGGGATCTTTAAATCCCCGATGCGAGACGGACGCAGGGTTCGCGGTCGGCAGTATTATGTCGCGTGTAGTTTGCGTACGCGAGTATACACCAGTAAATATCGCGACGCGAATAATCAAAGGACGTTACCTCGTCGCAATGAGGAACGCCATAGCTATACGGATGCACGGAAGGCGTTAGTCGGACGATCGACTGTCGAGTGCTGTCAAGAACGCTCGACGGAGGCTGAGAACGCTATACCCCGTTTTCTCGTCGGTCGTCGGTGAACGCTAAGATGCTAGCGCATGACTATCGAGAACGCTCGACGGAGGCAGAGAAAGCTCTACCCCGTTTTTCTTGTCGCATCACTAGTGAATGCAAGGAGCTGCTGATCGACTATACGCTCGACAAAGACACAGAACGCTCTATCCCGTTTTTTTTTTGTCGGATCACTGAGAATCAAGAGCTTGTATTTGGTCGGAGTCAGGAACTAAGACGGAATAGCGCGATCATAGCAACAATCACGTATTTTATACTAATTGTTACTCCCGCTCGTTTTGTTCCGTTATTCTTCGGTCGCGTTAGATAGGATCGGCGATTGCTACTGTCGGTGGCGGTTATTCTTAGATTGCGAAATATCTAATGCTCTTAACGGCTGGTATCTGGTCGGAATAATGGACTGCGGGGATGCATGTTATATATTGATCATTAATTATTATTATCATTTTTCAATGAATTTTATGAAATAAATAGTCAAATAATTCTATATTTTATTATTAATATCAAATTTTATCGAATTTAGTTTTTAATCTAGCTTTAATTATTATTAATAATTTATTTTGTTCCGCATGAGTAATACGCATTACAGATAATAAAATAATAAATTATTTATACAGCAAGATATTCTCCGCGGATTAATATGAGGTTAAATAGTAATAAATATATAAATCGTGAAACACTTTATTTCAAATAAAAATAAATTAATAATTTTTGGAATAAAATAAATTAATTATTTCCAGGAGCTACTATCCCCATGCTTGGCAGCGATTTTCTTGGAACCACTTTAAGTAAGTAACTAATAACATAAATTTAAATATAATTAAATATAATTAAATATAAAGAAACAGGGCTACGAGCCAAAAATTCGTTAAAGTATAAAATTGTTAAGAACGGACTATGGATTCCGGTCAAAGTGTATGCAACTTTCGACCGATTTTCGAATTGCTTCCGCCTTCCGCTGTCCCCCTCATCTCACCTCACCGCGCGCTGTCCAAATGTCGCACGATGTTCGAGCGACATCGCCCCCTTCTCGCATCCGCCAGTAGAGGTCTCCCCCAGCAGTACTATCATAGCAACAGTACAATCATGGAAGTCGTGTGCCCCTTGGCAGGGGATGGAGGGGGTGAAAGTTACTTCGCGTGGAAAGTTTAACGTTCCTGAACAGGAAAAGGTGTAGAATGGTACTTAATATTATACATATATAATTAACATACGTTAAAACTATGATTGTTAATAACTTTTTAACGAAGAACGAGCGACGACTAAAACCTGTTGAGGATTACTCAGGGTCATGACCTTGACAACATATGTCAAGGTCAAAGTCATTGGAGGGGAGTCCCCTGATCGATACATTTACCATGATAATATACAGGGTGTGTCAAAAGTATATGGTAACACAATTTTAATCAGAGCATACAGCAATTTTTTTAGATTAATAGCTTCTTTATACTCATTACAAGATGTATATCAAGTAATGAATAAAATGTAATACATTCTTCATGTTGGAATGTATATGTTGTGTTGAAAAAGTGTCCTATTTATAAAAATGTTTTCATTAATAACTTTTTAATGAATAACGAGCGACGATAAAAAAAAGTCGATAACCTTGACCTTGAAGGTTATTTAGAACTGACTGTGTAAAAAAGTTTTACTCTTAAAAAAATTAAAAAATGACAGCCGTACTGTTCTCACAATCATAATTATTAGTTTATACTTAGACAATTTTAGCGTTTTTAGTTCAAGTTCTTGTGGATTTTGGCATTAGTTTTTTCAAGTTGTCGAAGTTATCCAAATCTGTGGACCATCACACAAACATTAGCGTAACGCTTTGTCATCTTGTGTCATCTACAAGGCATAATATAAGTAACATAACGCACAGAAAAAAACATAGCGTAAGGAGTGGTAAGGAGCTTGTGTTATATTTTCTTTGTACGTTGCTTATCTAATAACGTATTGTATTACGGATGACTAGAAGTAACGTGGGATTAGAGCAACAAATTAGCACATAAAGAGCACTAAATCTTCCATGCGTTTGGAATGATTATGCCCGTGTTGGCATTCTAGCTTAATAAACATGCCGCGAGTCTCTAAACGTCATGACCGGGACTCGGGAGGCGCGATTACCGTTGCCAGGCTATCGTTCCCCACGATCTGCACACCAATGGGTGTATACTCAGCAATAGTAGACCAGGCGGACACACGGATTCGATAATCTTTAGACATTAATATTTTGTTAATTATTGCATAAATTGTAAAATGGTACAAAACTTTCCGTCTCAGTTTAGTACGATCTACCTATCCGTGATATTCGTCAAGTGAATTAGGGACACCCTGTATATAATAAAATAACATCATAAGGCGTACGATGCTATGGCAATGTTCGTGCAATGCGATGGCCCTTCCGTATTTTGATTCGGATGAGAAAAGCGCGAATGACTACTTGTAAAGTGTCGCGACTTACAGAACCATCCCTCGAGTATGGGCTCGAGCAGAAGATCCGGCGGCTCTGGCGGGAGTCGAGCGAACGCTGGCGTTCTGAAAGAACGTGCTAACATGTCGTTCATGCTGGTCGTCATGTTCTTCGCCGTATTCGGTCTGATCGTCCTTACGGAAATATTCCTGATCGACGAGAGGCGCGGCGTAAGCATCGGCGGTACCGGCGTACTTGGGGGTCACAGAAGCGGTCATCGATTACCAGCTGCACCTGATCGTCCAGATTATGGGGAAATAGGAGTAAGTATCTAAAAAGAAAATTTTTCATGCACTATCTGTACGTATATACTTTCGTACTGTCAGATTCTGCACGCGACTTCAATCACTCTTCTTTCTTCCTAATAAATTCATTTCAATCTCTGCATCTATGACATAATATATGTGTAGATTCTATATTATTTTATTATCTGCTAACTTTTCTCGTCATACGCAGATACACCTGCAAACGTTTTAAACTATTCAATAATTTGAAATGTCTCATATTTTTTTTTTTATATTAAAATTTGATTTATTGATGCGTATAATAAAAAAATTTTTTTTTTTAATTATATAATACAATAGCGATCTCGTTATTTATTTTTTATATGTCTCTCATTTTGTATATTACACTAATTATCCTTGTGATATTTTTGTTGCACGGATTATTATTAAAGCTATAATTTGTTGTATGGTAAAATTTTTTATTTTCTTATTTTTTTGTGATTTGATGTAAAATATATGTATAGTATAGTATAGTTGTATTTTTCAGTCTTTTTATTTTTATTAAATTTTTTAATTATATTTATAATTATTTATTCCGTCAGTAATTCTTAAAATATTTTTTATTGTATGCTAGAGAACATAGAATAAATTCTAGAATAAGGAATGAGATCATCGATTTTATGCATTCTTCTTTTTTTACAAAGGGGCACGAATAAATTGAACATAGATATATACACCGGGAAAAAACATTAAAAATGTAAAAAAAAACATCGAGTTAATGCCATAAAAAAAGAAGTAAAATCAAAATAATATTTCAAGTATCTTTATTAAAATACTCCTACAGAACACGTATCTGCGATCAGTATCTTGGAGACGTCCTTTTTACGACGTCCTTTTACCTTTGGGTATCCTTTAGGAATGTGCTGTATGGGATAATTATAATAAATTTAATGCAAAATACATTCTATTTAATGTGTATAAAGTATAACAACACATTAAAATGAAAAAACAACATGTAATAGATATATGTTATATGATATAGATATATGATTACAATATGTAAAAGGATTTTTACATCGAACAAGTAAAAAATTGTAGAGAAAAAAAATTGAAAATGAGCAAGATCTTCAGTACCCATGCCATAGTTGACGCGCCCATGCTTTTTTTAATGTCTTTCCGGTGGATTTCACGAATTTTTGCTAAAATATCTATTGGCAGATTCGGTAGACTGCACTAGTGCGCCACTGAGTGCGAACTTTTTCGGTGCTACGTATTCGGATTGTGTGTATCGTATCAGTGCGTTTAGATTACCGTATTCGGCAAATGAAAACTGACCTAGTGTAGTGCTAAATTTGTATTTAAACCAACCAAATGAACCGAACGAGTTCAAGAAATACTGCATTGACATTTTTGTCAGTGCAGTTTAGTGTTCGGACAAACAGAACTTGTTGGGCAGCAAAAAATTACAAAATGGTGGAAAAAGAAAGACTAAAATTATTTATTATAGATGAATTATTAGAAACAAGTAGTAGTGATGATGAAATGGAATGTATGTTATGTTTAATAAAAGAAGAAAGGCCGAAAGTTAAAAATTATGTGGACATTGTGAATAAATATTCGGACAAAGAGGTATATAATTATATGTATATGATAAAAAACAAATACTTTTAAAAAATATTTATGTTTACCATCATTAGTTGTTAGTGTTGCACCAATTTAATGCTGCACCAAGTCAGGTCAAATCAATCCAGTGTAATTTTGCACTCGCACCGTGTCAAGGCAGAACCATATCAGGGGTGCGTTCCAAAACATAACTTAATTTGGTAACTGAAATCTATAGTTTACTATAAATCGTTATTTCAATACTGCTCCTTAACTTAATTAAAAAATACTGGCGTATAATTTCGTACCGTCTAACCTCCATTTATTAAATATTAATTTATAAACAAATAGATATCAGTGACGAATAAATCATTATTAGGATCTTGCTTAATTAATAAAAATCAATGTATAATTTCGTTTCTGCTTAATTATTATATTTGCGTGAAAACATTGCATTTTCATTTTACATTCTTTTCGTGATATTATTTTTTTATACTTTTTATTATGATTGAGAACATAAAATTTTATGTAAAGGTATTGCAACATACACTTGATAATTTTTTCACATTTTTAATGTCTTTTTCAGTGGATTTCATGAATTTGTGTCAAGTTCTTATCATTAATTACAATACATTTTGTTATTCATATTGTTAAAAGTAATAATTTTTCACATAGGATATAAGCATATCAATCAATTTCTACCAACTCATTCATTGTGCGCCCTCATTCGATTTATACAATTAGGAAAAATTCAGAAAAAGTGTTGAAAAAGTGCAGAAATGTATAAAAAGTTGTAGAAAAAAATGTTTTAAAAAAGTGCAGAAAATGTGTAGAAAAAGTATAGAAAAAAGTGCAAAAGAGATGTAGAAAAGATATTCAAAAGGTGTAGGAAGTTTAGAAAAAAGGTGTAGTAAAAGTGGATAAGATTTTGCGAAGATTTTGCGTATCAAGTGCACTTACGAATATTATTGTTATCTCATTTTAATTGTAAAAATCCATATTCTTCCCCAATATATATTCATTTTTTTTTAAATACCTATTTGTTTAAACAAAATGATAATTTTTTACTATATAAGCGTTCTTCCTGTAAAGGATACGCTGTAGCATCTCTTTCAACACCTTTTTTCTCATATACTTGATTTTCTCATATATTTAACGGGAGACGCTACCGCGTCTCCTGATATACAAGGCAAAATGGTCGTAAAAGGCAAAAAAAGCTTAAGTAAAAGGCCAAAAACTGTACTTACCACGCACAACATCGATTTCTCGAGCGTATGCGCGTTTGTCTTTTTCCTCTTTCTTTCTATTTTTTTATCGATATCTAAAGCTGTACACACGGGGACATAAATGCCTACCCGTCTGAACTTGCCGGAGTATCGGAACATATTCAAGATACGTATTCCAGATGGGTAGGCATTTATGTCTCCGTGTATACCTGCTATATAGTTTATGCACCCTTTGCGTCTAGTATCGGACAATGATTCACGCGAACCTCCAAGAATTTATTAAAAAAAAATAGCTCCGCACAGCAGCTTGTTTGAACGTCGCCCCAACATGATTCAGAAAAGACATACGACCGCAGTGGAAAAGTTTAACTAGATACGAGCGAGCGACCATCTGACAAATTAGTTTGCTCGATCCTGCGGAACTTTCTTTATCCGTTTACATCTTCCGTCGTTTACATTTTCGTCGAGATACCGCAAGAAAAGCCCGAGTATTTTAAAACTCGTTTCGCAAGTTAACCGTTCTAAGAAACTTTGAGTTTGAGATCCGATTTGATTTCGAAGAGACAAACTGATTTTATATTATAAATCTTGTTTCTATTGTTTTAATTATCTTGTTTTAGGTGTGGCTATTAATTGTGCCTATCAATTATGTCTATTAAACTTTAGAGAAATTTTTATATAGTTTTAAAGTAATGAAAATACCATTTAATATTTTTATGTTTCAAATGTAAACTTTCTCTAAATGGCTAGAAATTTTTTTAGGGGATTGAAATAAATTAATTTCTTTTTCTTCCTTTTAAATTCATGATCGATGGTTGCAATTTTATACAAAGATATATTTTATTATTATATTTCTTAAGTACAAATATTCACGAAAAGACCACTCTACAGAAGCATTTAAAAATTTAGTTAGATACTTACTGATAAAAAATAATTATATCAGGCCGTTTAAATAACTATATTGGATACTCAAACTGGGTAAACGTTTAGAACTTTTTGCAATATTATCAGCTTGTGTCGTTCATCAATATACAACGTTATAGATATATAGTATGTCATATATATATATATATATATATGGTATATAATATATATATATACACCACATATATCAAATTAGTATACTGTATCAATATAGTAGTAGAAAACATGTAAGTAATCTTGATGTCTCCAGGCCGAAGATTATATCGGTTTGAAGGGTAGCTTTGACGAGCATGTCGGATTACTGGTACGCGGGGAGAACGGGGGACAGAAGACAGTAATACACCCGGATCCGCGTGGCTTACCGAGCTTACCGCCCAACTTGGAAGCTCGTTTACCACAGCTCAATCAGAATCTAAAGGTCACGCATGCTGAATGGTTGCCAGTCACTAATACGAGGTTCGTCTATTTGTGCGTGACAACAGAATTAAAAATTCTCCTAATTTTTTTTAAATTCAGCATTACAAAATTGCATTAATTATACCTAATAATTAAAATTTGCTTTAAGCTTATTTAATTACTAATGTTATTGTTCCTTAACAACTTAAAATTAAAATTTTTTACACTTTTTGCATCAAGTAATTCAAAAAGTCTGTATTACACTACAAGATGGAAAATAAAGCATTAATAAAATAAAATAATTTTTATTTATCTATATATATAATTTTACATACTTAAACAACTATAATTTGTTTTTATTGTTAAATTAATCAATAAATTCTGCAAACTATTATAATCAAATCAAGTAAATTGTTATTTATTTTATAATTGAAAATTATATTTTAAATTATAAATTATTTCGCTCGTAGAATTCTAGAAAGCCAATTTTTTTGAAAGTGCGAATAGTTTTTATAAAGCCCAATTTAAATTTCACTTTTATTAGACTATCAGAAACGTTTTATTATTTGTAAAGTATATTGTATAGTCTCTCGGTGAGAGACAGGTAGGCGAACGAATAAAGTCTCACTCGATCAAAGTTTAATAAAAAAAAACTTTATTATGACGAGATAGTATGAGCCCTGTTTTCAGGATAATTAAACGCAGCGACTGTCGGGCACCATAGTGCCCGCAAGGATCGCGCAACGTAGCGCGGTGGAGTCAATGCCCTTTTGCCCAATTACATATGGGTGATTTTTAGGAAAACCGACATGACATCTCGCCTTATAGTCTTCGATATTGTTTATATTCCGCAAAAGTTTATATTCCTTAGGAAAATATAATGACCGATATTTTTTTATTTTTTTGTAAAACGAATCGTTTAGCCGTGGTACTAATTGCAATTCCTCGACATTTTGACAACATCAATTATATCGTTTTTTTTACCTCACAGTAAATATTAAAAAAATATCAACGTAACATTTTCTTATGTAAAAAATTCTCCACTTTTCAATAAAAATAGTCTCGATTGAATTCAAATTTCATAAAAGCAGCGAAAATCATAAGTTTTCGGAAAAAACGAAGTTTTTTTTCATGATTTGGCATTTACATTAAAATAAATATTTTTTTTAGAAAGCTGACAATTTTTTATGTAAGAAACCGCTTCATTTAAGTTGGGAACTAATTTATTTCAATTGCAATAAAATAATAATTCCCTATTACAAATTACAAACGATAAATAAAACTCCTTCCTTTATGTCACAATGTACCGATTACCGAATGCATCCAAAATTCCTGAAAGTACATTCATAAAAATGGAGAGTAAATATGAATGGTAAAAAAATATCTAGTCAATATTTTATTCATAATTTTTTATTCGATTTTTTTATATCGAACAGCAAAAAATATCGAATTTTCGATAATATCGAATAACGATAAACATCCCTATCACTAATATAATTGGAAAGTTGATAAAATTTTCTCACGTGTTCTTAGTTGCAAACTTGCTCGATATACAATGCGAGATGTTTCACAATATCAACCAAACCATCATATACATCTTTACTGTGAGCAGTTGCAAAGAAATACCATTCAGCTTCAACTTGAAAGTCATCGAAATGTTCGTTTAAATTTATAAATGCATTCTTGTTTTAAAATGTTGAAGTGCATCATCAGAAAAATAATAAAGTTTGTTTATTTGACTGAATTAATTATTTTAATTTTGATTAAGATCCTTCATACGGTTCACAAATAAAATAAAACCTATAACGTCAGTCAATTGCCGCCTTTAATAGAAAGGCTTGTACGAAAGCCGTCCTCGCGGACGGTCGACATTTTGTGTGGAAGCAATAAACCTGAATCTAATCGTATATAAATTTATTTATTGTGTGTGCCACCTGTACCATCCTGACAATAGTCTTCCACAGTAAATCCTTTACAACTTTAATTATAATATCACTTTGTAATATTTTTAATTGTAATAATTTTTTACATGATGATGATCTAAAATAGACCGAAACGTCTAGAAATTTAAACGTATAATTTGAATAAAGGACATTCACTCGTCATAAATAGCTCTGTGACTGTATGCTTCTAAAAAAAATATTTATTTTAATGTAAAAATGCCAAATCATGAAAAAAACTTTGTTTTTTTCGAAAATTTATTATTTTCGCTGCTTTTATGAAATTTGAATTCAATCGAGATTATTTTCATTGAAAAGTGGAGAATTTTTTACATAAAAAAATATTACGTTGATATTTTTTTAATATTTACTGTGAGGTAAATAAACAATATAATTGATGTTTTCAAAATGACGAGGAATTGCAATTAGTACCACAGCTAAACGATTCGCTTTAAAGAAAAACAAAAAATATAGATTATTATATATTTCCTAAGGGATCTAAGAAATACTTTCGCGAAGTATAAACAATATCGCAAACTATAAGGCGAGATGCCATATCAGTTAACCAAAAAATCATTCATATGGCACGATCTAACGATTTTCCGATAGCCAATCTTTCGATTTGTTCGCAGGGATTATTAGATTTGTGTGTCGGTTACTTTTACTACGAAATTTTCCGGTAGCGACAGAAGTGTGGTACTAGAGGAGTTCTAAAATCCACTATGTGTTAGTGCGTAGTGCGTATACGTAATGCGGTACGCGCGCGCGTGTGTGTGTGTGTGTGGTGTGATGTGGTGTGGTGTGGTGTGGTGTGGTCAACGACATGTAGACGAAGCCTTTCTATGTGGTAGGCGATAATCGCGGCGAGAGGGGGGTCTTTTGACTTCGACTAGTTTCGTCGTGATTCGAATATATTCGGTTCTCACATGACTACTCACGTGACTATCATATAGTAATCAGTGGTTCTCAACAGCTGCGATCCGAAATATGCGTGTAGTGCTATCAATACATAATATATACGTCATGTATACTATATATTTTAGCGTGCCGATAGCGCTGTAAGCATATTTTGGATAAATTATTAAACATAATATGTAATAAAATATATTTAATATTGTTTTATATTATTTGTAATACTGCAGTGTTATTAATATCATGTTCAAGACATGTTCCAGTAAGCAAGAAACATCTTAAAACATCTTAAAACGTTGTAGCAATGTTAAAACATTGTTGCAACGATGTGAAAATGTTTTAAAATGTTTTTTGCTTATTGGGGTATTGCTGTTATTCTGATTTAACAATAAAATATAAACTTTTATGGAAAATAAATAAAATATATATACTTGTTCATATAAATTTTATAAGTTTTATTTTTTCAAATGATGATGATATGAGATAAGGCTCAATATGTATTAAATAACTAATATAGGAGATAAGGCAAGAGCCAATAATTCCGTTAAAACCTTTTTAAATTAATCTAATATATATTGCGAAGAATATCACATAATTATGGCGTTTCGTCCCAACTTCCACTACTGGACTCATCAGTAAGGCATTGTAGTGGAAGCCTACCTTAGACGCCTGTTTAAGTTATTAAATCGAGATTCTATATATACAGATATACGCGTATCAAAGCACTTGCGAGAATTTTTGCGAATATCTATAGACCTCTGATGGCGAGTCGACGTAGTAATATTCTTCGCAATATTTATTTTAAAGTAATTTTATTTTTTTATTGGCCCTTGACAATATAAGTTTGTTTAATGTATGTCGATCGCTTATTTTAACATTTTGGATATAATGGCCTAATCTTGTTTTTATATATAAGTAAATAACACCAAGCAATAAATGATTACAATGATTTGTAAAGAAGTTTTGATCATTAATATGTTCTTTTAATTCAAAAAATATTATGAGTAACGAGTGGTGGTATATTGTTTATAGCGCGGGACGGGCGCGAATATGCACTCGCTTCGCTCGTGCTTTCGTTACACAATGTACTATAAATCTACAAAATATGCCATAACACTATTGATAAATGTATTTATATTAAATTTATCAAACATGTTATGTATATGTACGTAAGTAGTTAACGCATTTTCAGTTTGTTTACATACATATACGAGATCCCTTGATAGGTATAATAATGATTCTCTGTTTTCAATATTTATTAAATTACAATTAATGTTTGTATTTTGTTGCATTATTAATGTTGCGACACATTCAGAGCAACGTAAAGTTTTCTAGTACCCAGCCATATAAGTGATAATTTCATTTTTATATTCTGTAGTTGAAAATGCATATTGTGGAAGTAAATTAAAATCATGGTCAGTACGCATTGTGTCAAAAACATTAAGCCATTTTTTATGTGAATTTTCATTTGATGTAGCATTTATAACATGAATTGGATCATAAGGTGATGGCATATGTAATATAGGGATATTTTCTAAAGGTACACAGTTTCCAGTTGCTGTGTCTTTTATCTCTGTGTGTACTATTAATTTAAAAAAAATAGATTTTAATTGTTTAACAGTAGGGTTATCATTACACCCACCATGTGCACATATACTAGAAAATAATAATTCCAAATAATCTTGGCTAACTCTATATGGTATGTTGGAATATAATCTAATAGGTCATGATCCACGCAAGTAAATTTGTATCATACATGTGTTGTAAACTTTCAATATCTATTAAGGGGGAACACCAGGGTGACGGCCGAAAAAAAAGGCTCTTTTTGTGAATTTTTTTTTGAAAACTGATAGCTTGTATGAATTATTGTTTTTATACATATATTCGAAGTACATACATTTACGAAATTATTAAAAAAAATTTATTGAATAATATTAATATTTATAGCTTCAGTAATCATTGATGTGCACCTCGTCTGAAAAAACATGGGTGCACGGGCGCTCGTGCTGCGTCTGAACGGGAGCTCTGAAGTAAATTTTTTTTATTTTATTTCAAAGTATATGAGTGTAGTTTCAGTTGCACGTACGAATTTTTTGATAAAATAATTTTAGACAAAATGTCGCTGTTTTGAAAAAAGGACACTATTTTGCGACAAAAATCTTTTTAATTATTTTTCAAAAACTAATAATCCGATTGAAAAGTTAGTACGTGCAACTGAAGACAATTTCGTTATAAACATTCTGTCCAAAATTCAAGTCATTCGGATAAAAATTTGCCGAGATATGTGAGCGCCCAGTTACGAAAACGTGGTTTCGAGAAAAACACGTTTAAAGTTTTACAACCGATTAGTTTATATAAAACGATAAAATTTCGTAACGAATCAAAGTGCGTCCAAGCCGGATGCATATGAAGTGCCTTCTGTAACAATAGCAAGTTTTTCGGCGTCGTTTCTGCTTTGCTTTCTTCGCAATCTTTCCTCACGCGTCGCCGCTTACGCTCGGAGGTCTACAAGTGAAAGCCGTTGCTTATCCTTGTTGTCGCGAAATTGTGATGCTGACGATCCAATTCTAATTCCCAGCAGCTCCATTATTTTTAATATATCGGTGTATCCATTATTAAAAATACAAACAGCGATGTTTGCAGCGATTTCTACATCTGTAGCTCCACTTGATGTTGTTTTTGGATCGATGCTCCAAACCATGTTGTTAAAACTCTCATTATTATTTTGAGTAAAACCATCCAAGCATTTTTCAAGTAACTTTTTGTCACTCAAATCTTCATAAATGGGAGTGATTGCATCGATAACTGCATCTGGAAGCGATGCTTTGTGTGTATAATCGCTTTGTCCTACAGCTTTTGCTCGCTGCCAAGTGCACCAAGAATCTGGTCCCTCCGGGCAATAATCGTGTTTTGGATTGTTGTCAGATGAACTCTTGTGATACAGAGTCGCCCAAATTGCCTTATACATTTCATCCACAGAATTCTGATGTCTGCGAATGGCTAGCCCATAAAAAATACTTAAATCATCAATTAATTTTGCTGTAAGTTTTCCTTTGCCTCCTAATTCTTTATTTTCTTTTTTACATTTACGTAACCTTGCGCCCATTCTTTTTTGTATGTGGTTGATGCACTCTTTTTTTGTAACAGGGTACGGCATCGAATCGACAATTGCTTTGAAAATGTTGCTGTCACCGTCTCCAATATAATTTATATAACGAACACTGTGAAGATCTTCGGATCTTAGGAACATTTCGCGAATCCCATCGACCTCCATTTTTCCAGAGGAGCCTTCATGATTTGCCATGCACATATCTTTATGAGATTCTAACCAATCTTCGTATTCTGCAGTGTCGCTTCGGTTTTCCCAAAAAGTACAGGCTTTACAAAAGGAAAATTTTATACTTATATCGAGCACTTTATTTGTATAATAACCGATCAGAGATGAAACGCCGTACAACGAAGTAAAGCCCCTTTTTTTCCAGCTTCCGTCACCAGATACTGTAAGTTCTGTAGTCTCTTGAACATTTAATGCTTCTGCAGTTTTCATTTTTTCCTCTTGTGCACTAGCTTTTAATGAAATATTACAAATCGATGTTGCAGCAGTGAGGATTTGTTTTACGATAGAGTCATAGAAAGATTGGAAGATAGGTCGAGGCAAATCTATTAATCCGCAAAACTTTTCTGCTCCATTGAGACCGATTCCCAATAACCTCATTGCAAATATAAATCTTTTATTTATTTCATACGCATTAGAAATAAGAGGACACGAATCGATGTATTTCGGATTACACTGCTTACATTTTATAACTAATTTGAATCCAAGGCCACGTCGACTTGTTTCTTGAAATTCTACGTCACTTCCACACGTTTTACAACACAAATCTTGTCATAACAGTAAAAACTGAGAAAAAATTTAAAATTCTATATGATATTGTTGGATCGATATCAATATCCTCGTCAACGGTTTTCAATTTTTTAGCTGACCTTTAAACAATTATTGACATCATATTATGTGCCCCTCGAAACTAAGCAACTTATGTTTGACACTTTTTCTTCTATTGTCAAAAACAAGCGAGTTATTCAGGTGACCTGTTTTAAATGCCCCTCCCTGTATATACATAACACTATACATAACAATAGTATATTTACTATTGTTCCGTTAGGAATTTCAACATAATATTACAGGGATATATTTTTAAGACTCCAAGAATTACAAAAATGCAAAAAAAAAAAATCGATTTTTTGAACCCGTCACCCTAATGTTCCCCTTTAAAAACCCAAGAAAACCTGTTTTGACTTTTAAATTGAGTATGTTTTTTACGCTCTTTAACAAGTTGTAAAAGGTTTAAATTTTTTAGTATTCTTTTTTGAACATGACTTGAATACGGATATTATTTATGTTGTATACTTTTTTTATATAAACAATTTTTTACCTATTTTGTACCCTCTAAATTTAACATTTACTTCAAATTCGTACCATTTTTTCGAAAAATGGTATATTACAATTTTCTTACGTCTTTCTCTAGCTTTTGGAATGTAGATTTAAAAATTGGTTGGTTTTTTGTTCTAGGTTAAAAATTGCCGAAGTTATCGTTCCGGCCGCAAAGCATTGTCCATGAGAAAACGTTACCATTGCAGAGCTGTAGCATCGCCATTTTGTAACAAAATCATTGAAAAAAAATATTTTTTTTACACTTCTATATATGTACAACAAAGACCTAAAATACATTTTTTTACATCTTTCATTACATTTCTGAAAAAAATTCATAAAGTTAGGCTTATTTTTCGTGCTCTAGAATAACGTAACGCGGAAAAACTTATGCCTTTAGACCCATCGACCTATATGGCCCTATCTGAACCGGCCCATCGAGTTTTTTTCGGTAGCTCGCCGTCCCAATCCTGCACACTGGAGTATCACGTTCGTTTTGCGAAAGAGTTTTGTTCAGCAGCCAAACCATCGGCGCTTGATGTGTCGCGACGTGTCACTGATCTTCATAAAAAAATATCGTTATCTTGAAAGAAAATGTTGTGAGAACGAAAATTCATTTACTACTTGTTTTTTTTCGAATAGGATCATATTACTTTGGTGATCTCATCGCCTAGACGTATCGTAAGAAAGGGTTTAACGCATTAAAGGGGGGGGGGTGAAAAGGGTGAGAAGGCGGTGGCGACGGTCGACGAAAATGTTCACGTAAATACTTCTTTTTCACACTGGAGTATCGCGCCATACTGATGATGTCATCTCCTGGGCATGATACGCACTACGCACTAACGCATAGCGGATTAGAACTCCCCTAGTACCACTACTGACATGCCCGCGCAAGTAAATTTCTCGAACTTTTTTTTTAGAATGATAACTGACTCATAAATATATACTAATAACAAATATTGTGCCTACATATTATAAGCATCAGAATCAGATGTTAAATGGACGTATTTGACACTTGTTTATTTTGTAACGAATTAATATTTCTATTTTTACCACCAACACTCTTATGCTACTTACATATTATCTCCTTACATGCATGTGCGCGTATATTCAGATAGAAAATAAGAATTTATATTATTTGTATGTGTACATAAATTTTAGCCGTTTTTAGGCTATGAATGTGTGTATAATCCATTGGCTATTATTGTATTTTTGAGTACACGCTTTAATTATTGTATTTAGCTAAGCTTCTTTACCTGTTCATAGCTCCAAAATCAACGGATTTTGCAATATATTGCTTTTTCTTGAATAATAATTATACTTCTATTAATAAGTATTAATAGAAGTTTTACCTACGCTAATAACACTATTAGGTTTTTACGGTATTACAAATAATAATGTAGTAATTATGAGTTCTAGCAGTTTTTTTTAAATAAGAATTGTAATAGTTAATTCATCACAGTCGATTTTGTTAGAGAAGAACTAATGAAAATTGTAATAATGTACACTACAAATGAAATAACATACATTCAATAATTAATACACACACACATTTCCAATTTTTATAGTATTACAATTTAGAAGAAAACACTACCGAAGTTGTTTCACTGTCTACAGACATTCACCTTCTGTAAGCTCCATTTTATCTTCCTTCTGTGTATGTATAATAGTGAGCGATAAATTGTATACGAATAAAGCTTATAGCGCGTGAATGTCCGAAGCGAAATGCAGTTTATGTGTTGACAAATCGATTTTAAAACAACATTGAGCATGTGCTATTATCGCTAAATACAATCTCTTAGCCTTGCACGTGTATTTTGTTTATTTCCAGAGATCAGTATTCAGAATGCTTAGTGATAAATATGAGATTAATTAGTTACGAGGTAAACGGGTGTTAAACACGTCCGTTTAAGCTAAAAATCACGTGATTTCAGTACTTCTTACAATAATAAAACGTTTCTGATATATAGACTAAACTGAAATTCAAATTGGGAAATCAGAAATCGGTCTTACCATATAAAGACTTCTATACTATGATTTTTATTCTAATGTTTTACACGTTACATTATGTATATTTATGCCGCATGAATGAAAATTTAATCAAAAGTTAAATTGTCTCATATATATTTTGAACACAGTTGAATAGAAATAATGAGATATGTCTTTGGTCTAGGTTCAAATTTTTCGTTTATTCAGCATATTTCGACAACAGAGTTAGCGGCGCTGGTACGCCGGCTGGCAAGAGTCAGGGTGTAGTACGTGTAATTAGCGCTACTAAGACCAGAGGACCGGAGCGTGTTTGGTGTAGGCTTTGGTATCGACAGCAAAACGGCGCAAACGTCACTATCTCTGTAACGGTAGCTGCCAAAATTAAGGTATGCTCCTTCCAGAGAAACAATTTTGATTTAAATTATAACTATTTTAAACTCCAAAGAACAATGTCGCAATATTATTTTACGAGTAATATAAATATTTCAATTATTTTTATATAATAATTGTTTTCATAAAATATAACATTTATGAAAGTTTAGTTTATATTAACTGTGTGTGCGTGCGTGCGTGCGTATATGTGTGTACGTATTTATTAAAAGTTTGATTTATTAACTCCATAGAACAATTTTGAAATAAACAAAAAGAAATAAAATATGGTATGATAACAAAAAAATTAAAAAGCGATATAATATAGACATATTAAATAATGACATGGTAAAGGTATGCATTTTATTTTTTCAAATATTTTTTAATTAGATTTCACTCGTTTTTTGCAATGCAAAATATAAAGAAATTTGGTTTATATCAAGCAGTAATAAGATGCTTTCATAAAATAAATTTATAATAATAAAGCTCTATAAGTATAAAAAAATTATAAACTTGAAAGCAAAGAGACAATTATGTGACAAAGAAATTTTTATTTAAAGCATAAAGTTGTTTAAACGTTCCTTGTCTAACCTCATACCTATTTACATTTATTACATTTATACCTATAACATTTACAATTATTTTTCTGTTTCTTTCGACAACTGCTACAAAAGATCTTTTTACCTGCATAAAAAGAAATTCTAGAATTTGTTGAAAGAAAGAGAAGTTGAATCTGTAAAGAATATCCCTCCAATTTCATTAATAAAAAACAAGATTACATAAATAAAACTGAAGAAGTACTACAGGATAAAGCACCTACTAAATTACAGAATAAAATTCGATTAACAAAATTTAAAAGAAACTAAATTATTTTTTTAACGAATTTGTTTAATAAAGGTCTCATTACAAGAAATGTTTACCTTTCACTACTTTCCAATGACTCCAACTTATCTAGAATTTACGGATTACCAAAAATTCATAAAGAAAATACTCCATATAGAATCATAGTTTCCTCCATTAACACAGCTTTATACCCTATAGCTGCCTTTTTATATTCTATCATTGCTTCTAGTATAGAGACGAATCCACGATAAACACATAACAGTTTCGAGGCTTTCAAATCATTAAATGGCACTGATATAGACAATTCTGTTTTACTTTCACTTGACGTTATGTCTATGTTCACGAATATTTCTCTGGATCTTGTAATCAACAGCATTGAAAAAAAAAGATGGCCTTTAATTTCTACTAAAACCAATATTCCATACGATGATATATATTTTGTTGAAATTAAAAAATTTATATTTACTTCAACCTTTTTTCTTTTAACAACAAAATTTACAAACAAATTTTTGGAACATCTATGGGATCTCCTTTGTCTCCTGTTTAGCCGAAATTGTTGCGAAATTTAGAAGAGAAAGCTTTGGATACATTGAATTTAAATCTTACAATCTATTAGCGATACATTGATGACATTATTATAACTGTACCAAGAAATCACATTGACAATATTCTCACCGTTTTTAACAGCTTCCATAACAAATTACAATTCACATTAGAAATTCGAAAGGACAGATGTTTAAGCTTTTTAGATCTATTATTGAAGGTTGAGAATAATAAAATAATTATTGATTGGTTCCACAAAAAAGCTTTCTCTGGTAGATATTTATCTTTTTTATCTAATCATTCTACCTACCATAAAATTGGATCAATTTTCAGTTTCTTAGATAGAGTCATCTTTCTTTCTCACCCTAAATTTTATCAGAAAAATATTGAATTTATTATAAACATCCTCCTGAACAATTGCTATCCTCTATCTCTAATTTTTAATTACGTAAATAAAAGAATTAAAAAAATTATACATAAGAAATTAAACACAGAGAATATTGACAATGTGATGTCAGATAATAAAAATATTAAAAAACTTTTTATGATACTTTATATACCCAAAGTTTCATATTCTGTTACTTCATTTTTTAACAAATCAGTCTTCACAATTGGCTACAGAATCTTAAATATATTAAGTTCCTTTATTAAAGTACACAAAGACAAACTTAATAAATTGCCAAGCCAGAATATCTATCAAATCAGTTGTCAAGATTGTACTGCGTCTTATGTGGAACAAATAAAAAGACAAAACTCAAAACCTATATAAATGAACATAGAAATAATATAAAGCAGAGTTTCTCCAGACTCTCTGTCATCTCTAACCATAGATTAAATTACGATCACAATTTTGATTGGGAAGGAACCTTTAATTCTAGATATCGAAAAGAATTACCATAAAAGAATTATCTCAGAGATGTTACACATTAAAAAACAAAACAAAGATATCAACTGTTAAAAACACACGGATAATCTGGACAACTCTTACAATTATTTATTAAAAAGTGTCAAACGAATAAATCCAAAGTAGCGTCGAAACGTTCAATATTTTTCAATATTTTTAAAGAATAAATTATTAATTACGTACAAAGAACCACGTCTGACTCTCTCACGTCTAATATCTCATTGCATATCAGGAGACGCGGTAGTGTCTCCGGCCATGTCCAAAAACTGAAAGACTATAAGCATCAAAAATTGTTAGATTGCTTGTCAATTTAACTAATTGTAAGTGATATTACTGCGGTAGTAAGTATGTATGCGTCAATGCTGAAAAACTATCAGCGTCGCGATTTTTGGGAGGACTACATACGCAGTATATAAAATTCACACAATTATAATAAGCACTGTGATCCAGCTTTGATCGTTATTGGCTTCCTTCTTCTTGTTTATTATTGTTTATCAATTGTACGGTCCTAAAAAGATTCTAGTATTTGAAAAATATTCATATTTGGCTGAGATATGACGAGTTGAACACAAAAATCTATTGAAATTTTTTCATTAAAAATATTACTTTTTTTGTTTATAACTTAAAAACAAAAAAAATTACAAATTTGACTTACGGATAAAAAAGATGCGCTATGAAATTTTCTACAAGAATCAGTCGTCAAAATTGAAATTAGAGCGATGTCCAAAATTAGCCCTGCGGTCAATATTTATCCCGCAAAATCCACGCGTATTGTAGAATCCAGCCCTTCAATTGACAATTTACATTTAAATGACTTATTCTGTTTTTACCTCTTTACTAGTTTTATATTATATTGACGACAATGAATTTCTCACTTTAGACACAATTCACATAAAAACAGGAGAATCAATTCTTCGAAGCAATTGTACCACACTATATCGCTTAGACTTTAAGATTATTTATCTCTATGACTTTGTAACATCTTCAAGAATCGCTGAAGAAGGACCTGTGGGTTCCGAAACGATATCATTATATTATTCGATATCATTATATTATGTTTTTATATTATATTCTTTAAATATTTTTATTTTTATGCTGTACTAATATTGTAAACTTGAAATTTATTTTATGGAAACATTTTATTACTACTTAATTTAGACCAAATTTCTTTATATTTTAAAAAATAATTTGAAATATAATTACAACTTATTTTGTTTATTAATTTTGATGTTAATTCATCTGTATAATATACGTACATATTTTATAGTTTTTATTAATTTTATGAATTTTATGTATTGCATAATATTTATATAAAATGGACTAGAAAAACTGTCTAGGTATATTTTATCGAAAGCAAAGCGAATAAAATACTTATTTCTATATTTAAGCTTTGGCGAGAATAAAATAATACATATGTAAAAAATTAAGCTTTGTTTTCAAAATGTTTCAAAATCTTTAAACCTTTTAACAGTTTCAAGACTGTCGAAATATATTCAAAACTTTAATAATTTTTTGTCTTTTTGATTTAAAAATTTTCGTTATTTGGAAGTACAAATTAGTTCGGTCCGTTTTCCAAAAGATGATCGCCTTCAAAGACGAGTCATTTTTTCGAGATGGAATTCGAAAATTGCCTGAGAGGTGGGAAAAAGTAGTAGCCAGCGATGGACAATACTTTAATTAATCTGTTCATTCATTTTGTTTTGAAATAAATGCATTTTTGAACACAAAAAACAGACCGAACTAATTTGTATACCTAATATACGTATATTCGAAATAATCCGATGTGTGTCGAGTGTAATCACTATTTTCAGGTAATTCGGGAGAATTGGAATCTCAAGTACAGTGCCTGCTTCGTGATATGTCCATTACCTAAAGAATCCCTGACAACGGATAAAGTGCCGGAAGCGGTCAGTGTTGTAGCAAAACTGCGAGCAGTCCCGACGAATCGCATCCTTGTACAGAATCGTTTCGAGAGCAGAACGAACGACAAGAAGGCTTTAGCTGTTTGCGTCAAACCTTTGCATTATTATTACAATACGGTATGTTGTCATATAATGTTGTGGCATGGTTAAATAATAGATGATTTTTACACTTGTGACATAACTGTAAATTATAATGTAATTTATACATTTGTACAACTTTTTATTTGCTCGTGCTTGTTGCTTTTGTGCTTTACTCCTATTTGCACCTTTTCAATGTAATTATTTATGTTGATATTTTATTATTATCGTATATTTACGCCGTAATTGTACACAATTTTCTATTCTAATAGAATGAAAGTATTTTGTTTTTGGCCGATCAGAGGATTTACGCGATCGACGTAATCTGTAATTTTTTTCAACTCCAATTTGTTTTCCACGTGATTTATCTACCATTAATAGAGAAAATAACGTCTGCATATCACTTAGAGATATGTTTTGACTTCAATTTCACTATCGCTCGATTCGGAACTGTCATCGGAACTTTCATCATTTTTCTTTAAAAGTATTAAAGAAGAAATTATAATTATTGAAAATCGTTTATTGATGTCTTATATAGCGTCCATCTTGAACTCGCATAAAATGCATAGGAAATCGTTCCGAATAACTAAAACGCTTCATGCGCATTACAAATTGTAGTTCTACTATACCTTTTTCTTTCGGATACATATTGGCTTCAGTCTGAGTGTCCCTTTAAATACGAAAAATTGTCATTTTATTTGCACCAATCTAATATAAATCATTATTTTAATATTTCTCTGTTGTTGCACTTTGTAATCTGGCAATATAATTGTGTATTTATTGTAAAATGCATTTGGACAAAACAAGCTTATCAATCTATCGGTTCTATTTATTATTCTATTATATATGAAAACTTTAACTGGTACTTCCGTGGAGAAATGAATGCATTACGAGGTATCTCATATTTTGACATATAAAATCTGTTTGATATTTATAGGTTTTGCAATTGGTGGAATTTATCGAGTTGCACAGACTTCTGGGCGCTACCCATGTTACTTTGTATAACGATACTGTAGGCGCAGCGGCCGGTTGTGCGTTAAAATATTATGAGAACAAGGATCTAGTTACAGTGTTACCATGGCATCATCTTGACATGATTTCCCAGCGGGAAATTCGAACGGAAGGTCTTTTCGCAGCGCTTAACGATTGCCTCTACCGATCTATGTACAAATACGAGTATGTGGCGCTCGTAGATCTCGACGAGTATATTATACCAAGGCATAATGACACTATAATCGATTTATTACGGTATGATACATGTGATATTAATTGTAGATCATATACATATGGTATAATATAATTAACATATGTACGTTAGAAGATAGAAGTAACATGTAGTATGTATATAGAAGAAAGGTTGCAAAATTTATGTATTATAGAATCACTAGAATCTCATCAAATTTATAAAATCAAATTTATTATTTTTAAACCAATATGTAAATATAAAATAACGATGTTGTAAATTAACAACGTATAAAACGCTAAATAATTATTTACTTCAAAGAACCCCGCACTAAACAAATGGAAAATGGATCCCGGTCAAATTGGCTGTAACTTTAGTGAAATTATATCTTTCTGATCAAAAATGTTCATAGGCATAAAGCCAAAAAATGGTTAATTTTCGAGTTACAGAGCGTTAAACATTGAAAAAATGGGTTTATTGCAAAATAAGGGCAATTGTAATATACAGTGCTGACAAAAGTTTCGAAATGGTAAAATATCATGAAAAATATATCGATATAAAAAATCTGTCTTCTGCTAAAAGGGAAAGAGAGTCACGCCATCCCCCTCCCCCGCCTATGTAACGGAATGAGAGGCGACAAATCTGAAGTGGCACCATGGGACTCGTTTAAAAGGGCATTTTCTGATGAAAACAACGAAGTAACAGAGGTCCCTACAATTTCCGTAGGAATATAAAATGTTAAAGTTAAAATTATCATGTTCATTAAGAGCTACCGCCGGCGTTAGAATTACCCAAGATGTATCGCGTAAAGATCGCACGATCGGATTTATATCTCTTTGGGGTGCTTGATTGATAACATGAGTCCTTATATCTCTCACGTGTGTGCGCGCGCGTGCGAACTAGACTCTAAAATCCTTGTAAGAATTCAATTATTTTAAGAAAGGGGTTGTATTTTTACTATCTTAAAATGAAATCTCACTGCAAGGGTCTGAGAACCGATTCCTACGAGCGCTGTCTGCTATCCCCCACTACCGCTCGATGCTCGCATAGTTGTCATGACTCGTAGTCTATTATTTAATCTATCTCCCTCGTTATTTCCATCAGAAAATGCCCTTTCAAACGAGTCCCCATAGTGCCATTTAAGATTTTTTGCCTCGTTCCGCTACACAGGCGGGAGAGAAAGGATAGCATGTACCCTCCCCCCCTCTTAGCAGAAGACAGATTTCTTATATCGATATATTTTTCATGATTTTTATCATTTCGAAACTTTTTGCCAACACTGTATATTACAATTGCCCTTTCGCAATAAATCCATTTTTTCAATAATTAAGTTTCCATCGAGGGTTAGAGTTGGGTTGAAGTTCAAGAACCGACCAACCACAGTCAAGCATTTCTCCCTCATTCGACTGTAGGATGGGAATACTCGCCTGTAAGTCGGTTCTTGTACTCTAATCCAACTCTAAAGCCCAAGACACAATGCGAGGGAATAGCGATAGCGATAAGTTTCAACCTATCAAAAATGTGTATTACGGTGTATTCGATTTCTGATAAGTTGAAACTTATCGCTATCGCTATTCCCTCGCATTGTCTTGGGCTTAACCCTCGGTGGAAACATAGTATGACACACTCGACACAAACGTCATTCTATTCTTCTTAATATTCAACGAATGATAAAGATAGAACGATGTTTGTGTCGAGTGTGTCCTCTAAAAGGAAAGCATACATAGTCAAGAAGTCTATTTTTTGTTTCTGCACTGTCTGAACTAGTGTATGTACACGGTGCAATAAGTTAAAATGAAACAAACTTATATTTGTTTCACTTCAACTTATTACATCATGTGTACTAGTTCAGACAGTGCAGAAACAAAAAACATACCCATTGTTTAACGCTCTGTAACCCGAACTAGCCATTTTTTGGCTTATGAACGTATCTATGAACGTTTTTGATCAGAAAAATATGAACTTTATTTTACTGAAGTTACAACCAATTTCACCGGGATCCATTTTCCACTTGTTTAGTGCGGGGTCCTTTCATGGATCATTATAAAGTGTTTGCACGATTAAAGAATTTCCTTATAAATAGTAAAAATAATTCATCTGTATGAATTTGAATCTGTTGTAAAACAACTTATCGTGAAATTTTTTTCTAGATGGATGGGAAATCGAATCAACATCAAATCTACTGGTGCGTTTTCCTTTCAAAACGCCTTTTTCTATTTACAATGGGCTGATGATCCTTTCGTGGTAACTAGTCGTACTCCTACCGAAGCTGGTTTGATTACTTTGAAAAAAACACGTCGCAGAACTAAGTTGCATCCGCATAAACAACGCTCCAAATACATCTGTAAACCACAAGATGTGGTGGAAGCGGGTAATCACTTCGTCTGGGAATTTATTCCCGGTCATGGAACCTTGAACGTGCCCTCTGATGCTGCCATCTTGCACCATTACCGTGTCTGCGAGTTTGGTGGCGATGACTGTATCAAAACACAATCGACGATCGATAGAACGGCCTATAAATACAGAGATCGACTTGCGACGAATGTCGACAAGACGTGGATAGAATTGCGCGCCGAGTGCTCGCTTCCGGAACTTGATCCGGTCCCAGCGTTAACACCTCGAATCAAAGCCAACCCACTCGGCAAATCGATCAGATAGCGAAAAACCATCGTTGAGATTCTGTGGGACATTGGTAATTTCACTGGTACGCCGAAAGTCGCGAGGACTTATTTCTATAATTACGGCGGTCCGTAGTTTTCTCAAACTGAGCTAAGTGAATCCCGTCTTTTTTTCGTGAAATTGACAGAACCTTTTTCTTAAATTTACGAAGCAGGAAAATACGCTTATCAACGAGATAATAGAAATTGCGATAAAAAGAAGAAACGCGCGCGCGCGCGACATATGAATTAGGCCGCGGTCCGATTCATGTTTACATCGCCATCAGCGTTCTCACGATCGGTCCGTTTCATTACTGAACATTTTACGTGAGTAAGTGATATCATAGATTTTTTAATTCGTTTGCTCACGCTGCACAGTGGGCCAGGGATCCTAAAAAGTTGCCAAAATTGACGGATTTGCGTGGAACTCAGTGCCTAGGAGTTTTTGGAATCGCTAATTTCGAATCTGATGTTAAAACCGAAAATTTTAAATGCAATATAGCGAACCTAAACGTCAAAACTAGCAGAATTAGTGTGAAAATTGTTTTCCAGAACCTTTTTATGTTGCTTATAAGTACAATTCTTAAAATCAAATGTTATGCCTATATGATATTAGCCTACAACACTGTAGTTTCTAGAGTCTACCACGAAGAGGTTATAATGTGATTTTAGACTCCTTCAGGGTGCTTGTTTTACGTGAGTCCCCTTGCCTCTCACGAAACAAACTAGTTTTATACTTTCTCTTTGTCTTCCGTAAGTTATAAATCATCAGGGTCATCTTAGTTTCAAATTCAGATTCAGAAATATGCTCGTTAAAATATAAATTCTGTCTTGTTTTAAGATCAGAAACATCTTGACCAGCTTCAGAAACAAATTAACTATATAGATTGACTAGATTCATAAATCTCGAGTAAATAAATTACTTCTGGAGAAAGCTTGAGAAGTCTGTTATTGCGGAATCTGGATTCCAAATTTATGCTTGAAACGAAGGGATTCTGTTGAATCCATTGCTCGATAAAATATTATATATCTGCAAGAGTTGTCGATCTATTGACTTTTCTACTGTGCTGAATTCGGTCATTCTTGTAATATTTCACCATATTAGTATTTCAGCATTTTGAATTTTTTGCTCTTAATATCAGATTTGAAATCAGTGATCCCAAAAACTCCTAAATACCGAGTTTCACGCAAATCCATAAATATTTTGAATTTTTACTACTTTTTTTGGGATCAGTGCGGCGCAGCAGCTATCCACATGCACAGATACGTTTGAGACAAATTTTGAGTTACTAGATGTCAAATGTCGCATATTTGCCACATATCTTAAATGAAATAATTCAGTAATAGGAACAAAATGGTGCCATTACCATTTCCATGAAAAGGGGAATATAGAAGAATGGTTAATTGATAAGGAGTTTATTGTCATAAATTGTGAAAATTTGACACTTTATGTCTTTCCTTACTACAGCATGTATTACTTTAGGTTAATTATTGACTATTTTGCAAACGTCAACATCCCTAGAGATAAAATTAACGGATAGGCACTTTCATTGCTAGCATATTTCAAAATATACGACATATTTTCATAAATTGCTCGTTCGTCCTTTTAGACGATTTTTCAATTTCAAAGACCTACCAATAAGAAAATACTTTATTTATCTTCATAAAACTTATGTTTTTATTACTTTCATTACTATAAACAATAAAATAATATAATTCTCTACAATAATTTCAAAGCATGAATTTTGGCCACTTTTTGGGATTCCTGGCCTGTGGTGCGGTGATCCGGAGATGGGTCGGTGTGAGCATTCACTTTATTTGCGTGGGAAAAAAAGACAAATATGAAATGTGAATATGAAATAGATGCATCCAAGTAATATAATCACTTATAAAAACAATTAAATGAAAACAAAACAACAGAAGAGTTATATTATTATTAGGATAATAACAGTACAAGAAATATAAATACAACATACCGAAAATATGTTTTGAATTTTTTTGCCATATACCCAGGGTATCGGTCATGAAACTTTTTTCCTAGAATGAAAAATAAAAAGTGAAAACTTTTATCATTGAAGTTAATGGAGAAATTTTTCACTTTTCACTTTTCATCCTATAGGGAAAAAGTTTCATGATCGATACCCTGGGATAATTCTTTCTACAAAGCCTTCAACACGTGGTCTTTTGTCTATTTTTTCTCTTTTTGCTTAAAGTTAAAGCTACATATAAATTCACAGCTTCATCTTCATTTTCATCATCGCTTGAAGATGAATGATTTATAAGATTTAATTGTTCATCATCATTTTCTGAATCCTCAAGTATGATTTCCATCAATTTGAATAATACAGCTTTACATTGAATATCCATTATTCACAAGTATAATATACAGGTTATAGGTCTCGTGATTGTATCCACAGACAGTCCGAAACAAAATCGTCATTAACACGCTAACAAATTGGACCGATCATTAATATCGTGAGAACCATAAATACTATAGGCATGAATCGGATCGCAGCCTTAATCATGCGTCATCTACAATGGGTAGTAACAATAGTGTATCTCAATTAGAATAAGGCATAGTAGCTGATACAATTTGTTCCAATTTGATTGGCTGACGCAAGTTACGCTTATGCAAGTTACGCTGCATGTGAAAGCAATCTAAGGAGTAGGCATAGAAATCAACAAATCATAATCGAATGTAAAGAGAATAATTAATTATCATTGGTCGAATTCTACGCCTACTTCTTAATCCACTATTGTTACTGGCCATTGTAGACGACGCATCATATTTTTCTACGTAATGGATCCTTGAACAGTTAGCAAAACTTGGGGATAACCTGCCAAGTCTATCGAGTTTGACACTACATAGTGGTGCTTCTCTCTTAAACCCATTCTACAATCGTAAACGTAGTTATAAGTGGCTGTAGTTGTAAGAACTGACTAATCACAGTCGAACATTTTTTCGTATTTGACTGTGATTGGTTAATTCGTACACTACGTTTACGCAACTGTAGAATGGACTTTAAAGCTATGGCACACAAAAACTTAAGGCATTAAGACGTAAGCAGTAAGCGAAATGACCAATCACAGTAGAGGCCGTAAGGCTATAACTTAAGCAGTAGCAAATTTACAACGTTGGCTGGGTCCGCAATCTCGCTTTAATCCTAGATCTACAATAGAGTTTTAAGCCTTAAGCCATAAGAAATGGACGAATCATAATCGATTATTCTCCTCGATTTCAACTGTAATTAGTTAATTTCTTACGGCTTAAGGCTTAAAACACCTATTGTAGATCCGGGCTAAAAGGCCCTAAGCCGTAAAGCCGTAAGAAATTGACCAATCACAGTTGATTATTTTTGTCGCATTCAACCATGACAATCATAGTTGAATATATATATTGCTTTTATTAACGTTTAAACAAAAAATACTGCAAAAGTACATTTTCAGACTGAATTTTAAAAAGTAACGGAAAAGTAACGAAAAGTTAACTGTAACGAGTTACTTTTAAAAAGCGATAACTAGTAACAGTAACTTGTTATTTTCTTTACTCGGTAATGAGCAACTGTAACTTGTTTCTCTTAAAAAGTAACTTTCCATTCCCTGTATAAATCCCTTACTGCCTTAAGTTTTTTGTGTGCCATGGCCTTTACGATTTTATACGGACTCTTGTATATCTGTATTTTACGATTCTTTCATTCGTGTAGCAAATGTAAATCATTTGCAACAAATTCTATTATCATTAAAAAAGATTGTTACAGAAGGCTTAAATCGCGGACTAAAAGAAAGCAGTTGGTGATAAACTGCGAGCAACATTAGATATTATTCCTATTATACCGTTATTTCGAGGGTAAACCTTTTTTTTAGATACTTGTAAATCCACACAATGTATCTTATGCATATCTATAGAATCGATAAATAGCATAGTAATACATGTACAATATGTATTTAGGAGATTTTAGATCCGTATTCAGAACGCGTTTTTATTGATAAAAGCACACTTTTATCTCTGAAATTCTATGCGTAACGTAAATTATAGCATTAGAGCGCTAACATCGTTGTAAACGCGTTCTGAATACGAGGGTAAATCTGCAGAAATATACACAGCCTAGAACACAGCGTACTCTCGAGAAAATATTACTTCAGATACAGTCCATTGAAAATTCTGAAATTTAATGGTGAAAATCCATAAATTTATTTAAACCAAAAAAAGTAGGATATGATTTTTTTTTTCAAAATTCTAAGATTTTTCTCAAATTTAATTGACTTTAGAGCTTAAATGTATTCATTTGTTTTTACTTTCATATCTTTTTAGTTTATAGTCTGCACGTAAAAGCTTTGCGATACAATAAATTATTGTGCAATTTTTTCGCGTTTACAATTTCGTGTATTTTGCCAAAAAAATTTATAAAAAATTCTATTTAACGTGAGATGAATTTTTTATAGTTATTTTTTTTTTAAAGAGATAAACGAAATATTGATTTTTCCTGATTCAAAATTCTACGATTATTACTACTCTATGATTATTATATTATGCTAGCAATTATTTTACATAATATAAAAATTTTGTTGATACAAACAAATATCGATGGTGAAAATGAATAAAACTGTACAAGGAAATTTGATAGAAAGATAAAATGTAATTGTATTACACAGATATAATTTATGAGATAGTAAGGGAAAGATTTCTGGCAACTCTAAATCAGTAGTTTATAATATACCAAATATTGTTGTGGTAGATAAGTTTAGTAAAGTTTTTCTATTCATTTATATTAATACAAAGAAATTATATTTCTTATGCACACGCAAGTTTATGTATATATGTGTATACACGCATGTGTACGTACATGACATGTAAAATAGACTTAAGGTAAATATATGTGATCGGTGCTGAACTACAGTCGACAAATGTGTCGACATTGATTATGTTGACGAAATTAATAAATACGATACTAGGACAACATGTATTTTAATTTTCTTAAATTTCCATTGCGTATTTTTTATTTAAAAATCACGAATTAATTATTTATGTAAATATTAATATATTACGGTATAAGGATTAAAAAATCATTTTTTAAAAAACAAAAGCAACACCGTTAAATGCACATATTTCTTGTATTGTTAAAAAAATTATTATACTAAAATTACTGTTTTTGTATATTTTGTACTGCTGTGCAATAATAATAAATTTGTAAAATTTAGTAATTTAAATTAAAAATAATACAGTATATAGAATATTAAGTATATTATAATGATTTGAAAATGTCATAAGAATAGATTGAAAATTATTAAAATAATGTAAGATATTTTACAAAATAGAAATATATTAAATTTGTTTTTTCTAGATCTAGACAATAAAGAATAATTAGAAAATACATAGTGTTAATTGGGAATGAAAGAGATTATACATGTTATTATTTCTTTATTGCATTAAAAATCAATAATCATTAATCGATATTGATAAGATATATAATCATAATAAAAAGACGATAGAATTGATTAAATCTTTTACCTTTAATTAATTTTATCAACTTAATTTATTTCCATATTAATATTAGAAACAGAGAAAACTTATATGAATACATCATAACTAAGAAAAGAATCTATAACGGTTAAAGAGTTAGATATTAGAATAATATATTTATATGTATTTTCAATAAATTTATTTCAGATCTATAAGTCGATTACTTTCGAATTTGCAACAAAATCAAACTGAAAAATAACAATATTCCACCAAAAATTAAATTAGATTTTTTCACTTTTACTTAGATTTTGATGTGTTATTAACATATACCTTAAAACCACTAAAGAACTTATTGCGAAAAATATTACTAGATAATAATATATCTAAAGAAGGTACTTTAATGGTCAAAGTTAAAATTGATTTATTTTGTTTATTTCTTCATTCAATATTAGCGTTTAATGTATAAAACCAATCTGGTAAAATTAGAGATTATTAAAAATCATCATCTGAATGCTTCTCTATCTTACTGACAGCTCGCTTTTCTTGAGCGGGTTTGCGATTATAGTTGCCCATATCTGTCGCCCCCACGGAATTTAAAAGATCTTCATCGTCATCATCGTCAAGATCTCCATCGATCAATAAATCACTATCGCTACCCAAGGAATCATCACTATCGTTTTCTTGAATTGTACCCCTCTGCCGTCCAGACATGCTACCGTAAATGCGTCGCTGAGTATATTGCATCTTTGATGCTCTTCCAGTATCTGGAATATTTTTAATTTGTTATTAGTTATTACCAAAAAAGCACAGAAAATTTATTTTCTTTCACATATCTCTTAATTATATTTTCAAAAAATTTTATTTGCAAATGATTGTGAAAATTACAATATCGTATAATATAATAATTTTTAAATAACAAAAACTTCTGTACAATTCAAATATAAACTTGAAAAGAAGAGAGCACTAGAAGTTAAGGTGATGCTGGACCCGCCTGTATTATCGATAAAACTAGCGTTTTTGACGTTTTCGTTCCTATCGAACCTCTTCACAGTAGTTTCACAGAATAAAAATTCCTTTTCCACGATTTAAATATTCATGCTAATGTATCTGCCCCTGGTTTATTATTGTGTCCAAAGCTGGAAAAAATATGAAATTACAGATTTCTTTATCCATTTTTATCTCCAGCGTTGGTCGCTATACTGAGGTTAAATGGATAAAGAAATCTGTAATTTTATACCTTTTCCAGCTTTGGATACAAAATACATCAGGGCCAGGTACATTAGCTTAAATATTTAATATGGCCTTTTTACTTCAACGTTGAATAACTCGGTGAAAAAAAATCGTACAGAGCTCAACAAAAAAACAAATTGAAGATAAAGATTCATTCTTTCGAAAGCTATAAACCGCATTTATGCACAATTTTTACTTTGCTCCGTGGAACACCTCAAATTTCGTTTAAAATTTTCAGGTTTGACGCACTTTTATTTATGTTTGTGTAACTTTACGAAATATCAGTAAGACTATTTTTTGGAATACCGGTCTGAAAAGTAGAGATTTTAAACTTTAAAATGCTTTTTTAAACATCTCGATACGATGATTTTTGACGAAGTTATTCTATCTCAAAGTTTGCCTATTTTTGCAGGGTGGAGCAAGTGATCCTTTAATTTTGTTGAGGAGTGTATTTGCAGTATTTTCACTATTTTGTGGAATAAGACTTTACTTCAAGAAATTTAGAGAATGCGAATTATTTTCTGTAATAAAAACAGTTACTTGATTTGATGTGGCCGGATTGACCAGATTTTTCTACCGCTGTAGCTTCCGGATTTGCAAGTGGAGTAATTAAAGGTTCTTGAAGATTTGTAGCAAATATAGAATCATTTCTTTCCATCATATTTTCGAAATTCGTATCCTCAGCTCTTAATTGTTCCAATTGTTTTTTCGTTGCAGCTTGTCTACGATTGAGATTAATAATAATATTGTATTATATAATTATGTATGTGTTGCCTAATTTATTTGTATGTTTTTTTAATGATTATATGTATTTTTTAAATCCTGTTTTCATATCTTAATATTGTTGACAAATACCGTCTTTCAAATCTTTCCTGTTCCATCTTAGCGGTATCTTCATACAAGTGTTCCAGGTATGCAAGATATCGAAATTTTTGTAAATAGTCATTATATAGAGCTCTAAACTCGATTTCGAATTTCTCAAATTCCTCCATGAATGCTGGGCGGACTTTCTTCAACGTATGGAGTCTCTTTTGATTCCGATCTAATTCTGTTTTTCGCCTTTCAATTCTTGCATCTAAGTTTTGTTCTGTATCCTGCAAACATAAATTAATTTTTATTAATAAAGTTACTATGGCATTATAATAAAATATTTTTTAGAGATTAAACAAACAATTTAAATTTTAAACACACAAAAGAGAACTATTTTATCATATAAATAAAAAATTTTACTTTAACATTGTCGATTTGCTTCTTCGTTTCACTAATCTCTTTGCGCGTGTTTTCGATGACATCTTTTAAAGCTACTTCTATTTCAGAAGTGTCAAATTGTCTCGCTATTTTGGTATTGCGAATATCTCGAAGTTCCACTTCTCGGCCGAGTAAGTCAAAGAGGGCTGCTCCGTTGATGGTTAATTGGCTTGCTAATTGCCGAGTTGTTTTCAGCTCGTTAATTTTATTGGAAATATCAAAATTCACTACATTCTGATTACTGCTCGATAGACTCTGTTCAGTACTGCTACTGTTGTGCGCATTGTACAACAGCGTGGTTATCTTTAACATCTCTTTCACCGCATAACCATCAGCTTGATAAAGTTTTTTTGTATTTAATTTTATATTTGTCTTCAATGCCTTGAATACATTAAATATCACATGTGTTACTACAAATTTCATAAATGAAGAAATTAAAGAATCTAATTTTTAACAGGATATAATGGCAAGTCGCCAGTAGAATCTATCATTTAAAGTTAAACATTACCATCATTAGACAGATTTTATTAATATAATGACTTTAATGCAGAGAGATGCAGTTAATATTAATCTAATGCAATATTCTACTTGAATAGAATATTGCATTACTTAATGTAATGCTAAACAAACTGCTAATATAATGTTAACTGAAGATGGTTGAGAGTGATATATTTTGAGAAATAAAAAAATTAATAAAATAAAAATAATGTGGCTTGAGAATAAACAATAAGAAAAGTCGAGCAATATACGCCACACTAGGTTTTGTTAGCGCAATTAATATATATTTATAACAATAAATATAGACATTTTGGCCTAAATTTGGCCATCTTCAACAATAAAAATACTTATATGTATACAATAAAAATAATTACAGATTATATGGCATCTACTGTGCAAGTCAAGTCAAACAAATTTTTTGAGAACATAATACATTTCATATTGCTATATCAATTATTAAAATGTTACATGTTATTTATTTAGGTTAATTTGTATTTAGTAATAATAAGTCAAAAATTAAAAGATTTCGCCTATCTTGTCTGAATTGAATTGAATCTTGTTTTTATTAGTCATACTTGAAAATTGTCCTTTCCATGTCAAGATATAGTTTCCAGACTGTATCTTGATATAATCCTGTAGATAGTCATAGGAATATCAATTGAATAACTATTTTAGAAAGATGGTAAAATTTGTTGATATTATAAAACGTTATAAAAAAAAAATAATAATTAATATAACTCTATCAAACACACACACTTCATGAGTTTGTAAAATAAATAAGAGAGAGATTTAGATACTATTTTTAAACAAGAATCATTAAACTAATGTTATGACTAGATATAATTATTGAAGTCATTTACCATAAATTCTGCAACACTACGTATCAATGTTACACGTTGTTCCTCAGTATCATGATCGTTATATACATCAACGTCTGGATCGAATCGTTTCACCAACCAAACTAGAATCTCTGCAACCAGGGAAAAATTTGGCATACGAAAATTGGCGAGGGAAATTAACCTCGGATAACCCAGCACTCTCATCATCTCTGTGAAATCTGTGTAAGCAGGTAAAAAAAAAGTAAATTATAACATAATTTCATTTGTATCTGCATTAATAATCATTTTATATGTACTGTATAAATCACGGTAGGACATTTTCACGATGATAAACTAAATTCATTCACTGTAATCACACAAAGGCAGGTTTTCATAGTTCATGTTTTCTTATTCACAGTATTAATGTTACCATAGAAACCATTAGCATGGGCTCATGGACAAGATTGTGAGCAATTGATTATTTTATCATAGAATATATATACATGACATATATTTACAATTTATATCACTGGATTTTATTGTTTAAAAATATGTGTGTATATATGTATATAATACTATATATTTTTAACAAATTATAATATTTTAAATTAAGAGTTTATTTCCAATTCGAAAGCTTCCCAATAATCCTAACATTTTTTTATCATACATGTTATACACATTAAAAAATTCATAACACAATACATAAATATAAAGTTTTTTCCTTTATTTTGTCTATACAGTTTATTCTTATGTATAACTATACAATACTTGAATAATTAAAATAATTAAGTGAATTAAATTATTTAAAACTCAGCTACAGGAGTTTGTCTATTTTTCTTTAGTTGAGAATGAAGTCTTTTCTCATGTAGCCTCTCTCTAGCAGCCTTTAGCAGATTCTTCCTTTTCCTTTCTTCGGATTCAGGCGATGGTTGTGTTGATACTGCTAAAGTGGTTCTTATCATTACCCTTAACTTTTCAAGAGCATCTGCCAAATTTAAGTGCTGAGATCTTGTTAAGTCTGACTTTATTATTAAGTAACCATCTTTGTTTATCTTGTTTTTATACTAAAATAATAGATTCATAATAGAATATATTATAAATTTGACAATATTAAATTGTTAGCCAGAATTTAATCGGCTACTATTTATAATTGAGATTAACCGATGCTTTATAATAATTCAAATTAACTAATGTAAACTTTATTTGTATGTACTCACTTGTTCCGCTATCTTTGTTCGAATTTCTTCCGATAACCAGATAGCACTGTCTATCTGGAATCTTAAATCTACTTTGGTATTTACACAATTAACATTTTGTCCTCCTGGCCCACTGCTACTGCAGTATGTAATTTTTACTTTGTCCAAGGGTATGTAACCACTAAATTTTGCCTTAGGATCTGATACCTGAGAAACGAACAAGCAACAATTACCGTTCAGTCATGTTGAGGTTATGTCATAAAGCACATCTTAGAACTCAAACATAGCACATATAAAAGCAATATATATAAATAGAAATGATATTATTTATCATATTTATAGATTAATATACACTAACAAAAGTTGGAGTGTGCAATTTCAATTTGCTTTTCGGATACAAGTTCTCTAGGGATAACGCACTTTTAAAGCTAGAAGTTCTACCGAGACTGTACGATATATTCTGCCTGTTAATGTTACTTTGTAAAAATATTTTGCTCAAACACTGCTTCCTAACGAGATTCATTTCGATTTCTACGTCTACTATTTAACTTTCGAAGGTTTGTTTAGGTTACAAGTTACAACACGTTCTTTAATGCCAGCTGATGCCAACTGCACACCAGACTACCAGAGCGATGTTCGTCGCGCGCGACGCGTGATATCCAATAAGCGTACAGCTTTACCTTGTTCTCATTCTAAAGCTAGACGCTCATAAGCTAGAAATGGACCAATCACAGTCGTCAATTTTGAGTTTCTTACTTCCGATTTATGACTTATGGTTTAAGCCCATGGCACATAGAAAACGTAAGACGTATCAGTAAGGAAATCCTAACATTGGATTCGCTACCGGCCTTACGGTCTCTACTGTGATTGGTCAATTCGCTTACTGATTACGTTTTACGGCCTTACGTTTTGTATGTGCCATATGGGCTTTATTGTAGAAGGCCCATAAGGCTGGGTCCAGCCTAAGAGAATCAGCCAATCAAAGTATTTCTTTTTGTTGAAATAGAAGAAAAGGAGGGCTTCAGATTCTTCAGTTGATTCTTTTATGCACTATGACACCTTTTACACCGAGCACTTGATACGCATATTAACTAGTAATTTTCTATTAAATAATCTTAATTTCAGCAATGTATTTAAAGAATAATGTATTAAATTAGTAAAATATGCATCAAAATAATTAATTAAATACATATATCATGTATATGTTTACACATAATGCTGAAATTAAGATAATTCAATAGAAAGTTACTGGTTAGTACTCATATCAATTGCACGATGTGAACTAGGCCTATTGCTGGATTCACACTGCATCCGATGTGCGTCGTACGACGACTCTGCAACCAATCAGAAAAATCGTATCGTCGATGCAAAGCAAAATCCTGTTTTCCAATTGGTTGCAGATTCGTCGTACGACGAAAATCAGATGCTATCGAGCTCAGTGGTCTATCTATACTATGTCTATGGTCGGGATGATGGCCCGATGGCTGCTTTGGCCGCTTGCTCTGGCTGCTCCATCGGCTCCTTCAGATCACATCAGATTTCTCCCTGGCGCTGGTGAACGCCGGGCTCAGCCAGACGATCATCAACGATTGCCGAAAACACGAAGAATACGGAGGCACGATAGTTAACGAGAATAAGGCAGAAATAGTGCCGTTGTCATTAGGCAGGGCATAAAAAATGGCTGCCGCGACGAACCTTGCACCGGAGAATCAGTACTTCTACGAGGATGTTGTCTACCGCATGGACAAACGGGGCAATGTCGTCTTCGGCATCGTCATGGAGAACGACGACCTGGACCTGTCCGACGAGAGTAGTGACAATGAGGAGAACTTGCCAAAGCGCAAAAAGGGCGAAATCCGCATGATATGGCATCCGTCCGGTGTCGAGGAGTTGGTCAACTGCAAGAAGGTATCTATATGGCTTTTCTGGCGATATGACTGGATGTTGTTATAATCTAATCTACCGATTATTACTGTACTAATATATTTTAATGTTTCTTCTGTACAGTTTTTTGACTTATATCTTTTGCACCTCGATCATTCTCGACCTTTGTGTTGGTTTGCGTTAGAATTTTAAATTAATATTAATTGTATGCAAAGATTTTTATTATGTTTTCTTAGGTTCATTTGGCTGATAGGACACTCATGCCTGGAGATGTAGTACGTAGAATGATCAAAGGAAAGGATACACAAAGAGGTTACTGTCGGGATGTAGAACTGACAGCCTGTGTTCAGGTCATCGGTACCAAACAGGTTCTCACAGATATCAAGAGCGAAGATCTGATTCCATTGCAGGTATATTAATATCTCTATAATGAATGGTTAACCATTATTTACATACTGAAACACAGCTGTTATTTGTAGGAATTTGCAACAGATATGGCAGTATGCTTGGATTCGTGGGTCGGTGGCATTAGAATGACACACTTCAAGTTATGGTTGGTAACGCCAGATGGATCTCACTGTGTCATAAACGAAATGGATTCCTGTGTGTTAGGACAATTGGAAGAGGCTCGAGACAGCGTAAGATTGAACTAATTTATTATTTAAATAGGATCCAAACAATATAAGTATGTTTTAGGATAATGATTTTCCACACCCAACTGAATTCTATCCTGGTCAGAGCTTATGGGGACCTGTTCATTGCTTAGAAGATGCGCAGTGGCTTCAGTGCACAAAGGAGATGAAAGCAAAGAGGAAATTAAAACCTCAAAAAATAACCAAAGTGATTGTGGAAAAAGTGGAGACTGATTGGATAGGCGTGCATTGGCAGTGCCGAGCATATTCAAAGGACGGCTGGTCCGATCAGGTTCAACCGAAGTTTGTGGTTGAGGGTGAAGATCTGAAAAAAATTAAACTGTTAAATGTATTTGAACCCTCGACAGTACAGGTCGGCAACCGTAATTTTTACATCATTAAGGGTAATGAAAACGTTATAACTCGTGAACAATGGCGAAAGCAACAAAGGGATATTTATCAAGTTCCTAAGCAAAGTCCAAAGAAAACCCGTTCAAATATCATGGTAACGAAGTTGATGGAAGATAAGGAGCAAAAAAAGAATAAAACGTCCAATCAATTGATGGAAGAAAACGGTAAAAGTAATGGCATCCGTCCTCAGGACATCATAGGTAACAATGTTTTAATGCCGCCGCCTCCAAATCAACACGCTGAAAGTTCAGACGAATGGGATACGGAAGATACAGGTTCACAAAGTGATTCTACTTCGGTAATATCTCTTTTATTCGTTTCCCCCCATTTTTTTTTAAGAAAAGAAAAGTGAAGATGTAGAAATGTATGCACTTTGTAGGTCTCTAGCTGTTGTTCTAGCATGTCATCAGCGGGAAAGAAAAAGAAGGGTCCTGCATTAATGACAAAAGTGCTAAAGAAAAAGAAATTACGAAAAGCGAAAAAGAAAATACCACCTGTTCCATTGATTCCTGGGACTAAGATAGTCGTAGAAACGTTGTCCACTAATACAAAAGCCAATGTGGTGTGGCAAGATGGCTCAGTAGAATTTGGTATTGATCTTTGATAATTATATAATTGTGTTTGTATAGATAAAGAGAGAAAAAGAATCTCATAAGACCTATACTTATACAAAATATCTTTGTTTATTTTAAATACGTAAGAATGTATCCAAATTATATTTTTTTTCTTATATATTATTTGCTTACGATATTATTGATTTATATATTATTAAAAAGTAAACAATCTCAATTACTGAAAAAAAAATAACGTAACAATGCCAAACGTCATTATTTATTCTTTTCCAGGAATACCGTCAACACAATTGTATCCAATTCATCATCTAGATGATAAGGAATTTTTTCCAGGTGATTTTGTTGTAGATCAAAAAGAAGAATCTAGAATGTATGGCGTTGTACAAAGTGTTGATCATCAGGGTCGTACTGCCAAGATAAAATGGTTCCGTACATATACTTCTAGTCAAAATCCAGAGTAAGTGTTATAGTAAAAATATCTTTAACGTTTCTCTCATATGTTGTTTTAGAACTTTATGATAGTTTTATTTATTCATATTTTTATGTAAGTACTTATCGAGATTATTAAATATTAAGTACATATATTGAATACAATATATTAAAAGAAAAATGTAGGAAATAAATGAGAATAAAAGAGTTCTATCTTTTCTAAGTTTCTAAGTATTTAGAACTTATAATTTAACCATAATTTAAAATCATTACAAATAAAATAAAAGAAAGATTAGTATTATAAGTGGCTTGATTTAAAAAATTATATTAATGAATAAGAGAGCTTTAGCCACACGCTAGATATAATAAGCGATATTTATTTAATAGTTATATATATAAATACAAATTAAAAAGTGAAAATAGACGTTTCGGCCCTAAAAGAAGCCATCTTCAGTACAAAAATTAATATAATAATGAAGAAAAACAATAACATTATATGATATATTTTTTGGTTATACATGATGCGATTCTGAGTCGTTATTCCGATTACAATTTTTATAC